TTGGGGTTATAGTAGGGATAATGGAGAAGAAAATGGAAACTACTATGGTATATTGGGGTTATAGTAGGAATAATTGAGAAGAAAATGGAAACTACTATAGCATATTCATATTCCCCACATTCCCTGCAGCCGATTTGCATAATGAGGGCCATCAATTGAAATGCTGAAGTGGTTCCCTATAATCCTAATGACGCCGCGATGTAGAGCCCACGCACATGCCCCAGAGAGCTCCACTAGAACCGGTGTCCTGTAAATCGGATTCTTAACCGTGAGCCTTCATACAATCAATAAAGTCGAAAGGCGTAAACCCCTAGATTCTCATCCCTAAACCCCAAGCCCCAAATCCTAAAACTGAATACCCTAAAGTTAAAGCCCTACAAGGCCTAAGCCCTACAACCGTAACCCCTAAAACCTTAAACCCTAGCCTTTAAGACCATTAGCCCTGAACAACAAAACCTGAATCCCTGCATCCCGAATCTTGTTTGTAAAAACAACAACCAGACCTGAGCTGTAGCCTAAGCTCCTTAAAGGGGGTTATATAGGGCTAATGTACTGGAGTATGAAAGGGGTTACTAAGGGGAATACTAGGAGTTTAAACCCTAAACTTCAAACCATAGGCCCTAAACCCTACACCAGAGGCATATGAAGGGGGATACTAGGAGTATGCCGAGTCAGTCAAGACTACAGCTCACCCGAAAGCCCGCCTGCCAGACGGCTCGGGCCTCTCTTCCTGCAGCGGTGGGTGGTGCTGTCGAGGTTCGTTGGGTTTGAGATTTGAGCGGTTTTGAGGTTTAGGGGTTTAGGGTTTAGGGGTTCAGGGATTTAGGATTCAGAGGTTTCTGGTTTAGCATTTTAGGGTGTTAGGTTCAAGGATCAGGGTTTAGGGTTTTTCCACTTTGGGGACCAGAGTTTTGGAGGGTTGAGGTGTTCATTAAGGTTGAGCCTTTTGGATTTTAGACTTTCAAGTTTTGGCTGCGGTTTTCGGGCTTTCGGCTTCAGGATTGGAAAGATACAGTGATCAGAGTGGTTCGGAGAAGCACTAGACGAGGGCCGTGGGTGCATAGAGTGTGAAAACTGCTTCAGGGATTCCTCCATTTTTTGGCGGGGACAGGTTTCCTCCAGTTCAGGGTTTAAGGTAATGTTGGACCCTCTTTAGTATATTGGGTCCCCCCAACAATTTAGGGGGTCCTGAATCAAAACTGTTTGAGGGTCTGAGCCTGAGCTGAATCCTGGTGGTATAAGTGTTAGTAGTATCAGTACTAGTACTAGGACGAGAACAAGTAGAAGTAGTAGTAGTAGTAGTAGTAGGAGTAGGAGTGGGAGTAGGAGTAGGAGTAGTAGTAGTACTTGACTTCCTATTCTTCTAGTTGTTACAGACGAACTAGATAAACTCCAAATGCGACGTCAGTCGAATTTAGTCCGTTTCTTGTTGATGCCAAGTAGATGTGATTAGTTGTGCTAGGAGTTTCAACTGATTTGAAGTGGAGATTAAATCAAACAGATCCTAATTAGGTTTTAAGTAGGTTTCAGTGGACAGTAGTTAGCTTGTGACTGGAATTCCATACATAGATTGCCGTTAGGTTTTAGTCAGGTTTCCATGGGTTAGAACTAATGTTTTGAAAGGTTTCAACAGACTTTTAGTTAGATCAGGTTTTAGCAAATTTCAATTGATGTTGACCAGAATCTGATTACATTTCAAACCATTTGAAATTAGTTGCAACTGGGTTTGGAACAGGCTCTAGCTAGAATTTTCAATTGATGCTAGTTAGAGCTGACCAAGATTTTGATTTTATTTCCATAGTCTTGAATTCCAATTTTATTCAGATTTCAATGATTTCAATCCGGCTGAAAAGAATTTGGCAGGCTGTTTAGAGGCACCCCCATCTAATTCTTTAAATAACCCCAATATTAATGTTGAACACTTTTTTCGTGGCCCGGATTGCTTGAATTCAGAGGGCGGGGGGATATCATGTAAATAGCAGGCATCGATTAGTCATAGGTGGGCATAAAGCGAACGCCTCTGTTTGGGCTGTACGCCTTTGAACGCTAAACCCTAAAAAAAGGGTTTGTGGCTTGCCAGAAAATTAAACTTCTGCTTCATTTGTTGGAGCGCGCCGCCTTCTTACAAGACAGCTCTAAGCCCTAAGCCTCATACAGCCCTTCCGGAATGACCTATCAAGCCCCTGCAAAACCGCGTGAAACCATATATAACCCATGTGAATAGATACACGACCCCTTCAAGGGACCCTGAGAGCACTCCCTGAAGTTGCTGAGGCAGCTGCCGTGCCTGCACAGAGGCTCTGCTGATTGGCAGTCCCAAAGTCGAGTAATCCTATCTTGTATGGTAGTGCTAGTTTCCCTGAACGGGGGGACCCCAATATAGACCCCAAAATACTACAACCCCTTACATAGGGAGACCCCTGAAAGAGGTACCTCATTTGGCGAAACCTCTAAATATTGAAGTTCTTCTTGAACGCAGATTTTGGAGGATGAGCCCTCGTCCTTGCAGGGGTGGTGTACACTTTTGTTTTCGTGGCATTGTGTATGGCTGACGATAGGATTTGCAATGCGATCAGTGTCAGAAATAACGGGCGCCATGTTCAACCGAAGCAATGTTTTCAGGCAAGTGCCACAGTTTTGACAACTTACCATGCAAGGGCACGCCAGGGTGCTTAGGGTTCAGAGTTTTCTCTGGTGTCGCAAGACTACCCAAACGATTCTCCAAAGATCCCGTGTGTGTCTCAATGACACTGCACTGCCTACGTTGAGCGTGAAGGGGAGCGAGATCGTTAAGTAGATCTACCATCAATGTTTTGGCAGAGAGCTACGCCTTCGTATGTTGCGGGTTTACTACCCCAGACAGAGCCTCCGAAGTTGTACATGCGCGACATGATCGCTGTTGGGGTGTATGAAGCTCAGACTGCAAACTTGATTTCCTTCAACCCAGATTTTGCCACCAAAATGCAGCCTTTGAACATAGCCTGCGGCCTTGTATCTTCAACCTAAACCCTAAATCCTAACCCTAAGTCCAAACCCTCTAGACCCCATTCCCTCCAAGTTTCCCTCAAGCAAAGGAGTCTTTTCCCACCTGACCGTCCAGTGCTAGCCCACTCAACCCCAAACCCTGCGTTAACCCTGAACCCTAAACCCTAAACTAAACAAAGGGAGGACTCTTCGGTCCTGAGCTATCTGTAGGGGACATTAGTTTAGGGCTTCGGGTCACTGGTCATAATACTTGTTTGCAGTCTCGTGTTTCAATTCATAAGCAGTTTGGGGGTTTCCATAAATGGTGAATCCCAGAAAGGCACAGCCATTTTTTACAAGCCCCAATTAGGTTTTCCAAATTTCAAGTTAGGTTCAAACCCTAAAGCCTAGTCCGCGCACGCCCTAAGCCCTAATCCCAAAAGCCTAAACTCTAATCCCGAAACCCTAATCCCTAAACCCCAAACTCCTAAACCCTAAGCTCTAATCCCTCAACCCTAATCCTTAAACCCAAAACCCCTAAACCCTCATTCCTAAACCCTAATCCCTAAACCCTCAACCCTAAACCCTAAACCCTAATCCCTAACCCCTAAACTCCCAATCCCTAAGCCCTAAACTCTAATCCCTAAACCCTAATCCCTTATCCCTGAACTCTAAACCCTAAACCCTAAAATCCATAAACCCTATAATCCCTAAACCCTAAACCCTAAAAACCCTAAACCCTAACAGTTCAGTTTTTTTGAAATGATGCGCTGCATCAGGAGACGTTCAGACGCGGGCCTGCGGCGCAAGAGCCCGGGGCCCGGCGTATCTTTGGGAGCCAAAGGGGTTATATTGGGGTTATATAGGGATAATGGAAAAGAAAATGGAAACTATTATTTAGGGTGTTGGAGTTTGGGTTTTTGGAGTTTCGGGTTTAGGGGTTAGGGTTTAGGGGTTTTGGGTTTAGGGATTTGGGGTTTAGGATTTAGGGGGTTTAGCGCGCAGGATGTGCTTAGGGAAGTTTATGTTCAGGTTTCGGGGGTTGGGGTGGATGTAGGGAGATTTATACCTGGAAAGCCAAGGCGACTCTTAGTCCAAAGCCATAAACCCTTAAACCAGGTTATTTAGGGTTATATGGGGATAATGGAAAAGACAATGGAAACTGCTATTTAGGGTTTACGTAGGGTTTATAGTCCCCCTTATGTAGATAGAATATGGCTTTGGGAATATCCATATGCTATCTACCTAAGGGGTACCATAAACCCTAGGTCATAAACCTGTATTCTTCCTACTATGACTGTTGCTGTCCCTCCTCTTCCTCCACAAAAGCCTAAAGCCCTAACTCCTAAACCCCTATACCCAGGTGGACCCTGGGGGTCCAAGAAAGGCAGAATAATTTAGGGTTTTGCGCTATGTTTATTGGGTGATTGCAAGGTAGCGAGAAAGTTAATTCACACAGAAAGGAGAACGCACAAAGTTGCAAACCGTTTCCCGCTGAATTATACCACCTCTCTCGATGCCCATCAGAAACCAGATCCTAAACGTACCGTAAACCATATATACGTAATGTACCCTACCCTATGTAAACCTTGTATGACATATGTGCCTTAAACGCTGAGGCCTACACCCCAAAACCTAAACCCTGCGTACCCAATACGCCAAGCCCTATACCCCGAATTCTATCTGCAACAAACCCTACATATGCTAAGCCTGAAATACCGTAGACCGTATGTACCCTAGGACCTGCATAGTCTACACCCTGAACTCTGTATGCTTAGAGTACCTTTCAAAGCCCCATAGTCAGCGATGTTAACCTACACCAAACCTGTTGGGAATGTCTGTATGTAATGTTGGATAATGCAATGTATGTCACGTAAGTATGTACGCATGCACATATGGATGCAGGTATGAGCAGATCCGCCCGAAGTACCCTCCATTAACAGCCGGAGTCATGCCACTTATTTGGGACCTGCCAACAGTGGAGCTTTGTATGCGCATCGTGCGTTTCGCGCCGCGACCACCTGGTACAGTTTGCGTCGGAGTGGCTGACCATTCGCGAAGTCCTGGGCAGGTATGTGCCCACATGCGTGTGCGCATCCCATCCCGCCTTCAGCTGTGGCAGTCAATGACCCGGTGCCGGTGGTGGCTGGGCACGGACAAGAAGCATGGACACAGACGGTGTGGCCTTGGCAAGGAAGCCTGGTACGCCACTTTACTGCGGTACCGGGCACACGGCTATGACACAAAGACAGAGTAGTCCGTTTGTATGTCCCGCCCATTCACATACGTCGTCACCTTAATGCCTTGACCCTAAACCCTTAATACATTAACCAGAAGCCCTAAATACGTTAACGCCCAACCTTGATTCCCTTACCCCTGAAGCTTCTATACGATGATCCTAAACCCTTCAGGCATGCGGCGCAGGTCCTCCTTAATGCCCGAAGCATATCTCCCCGCAGCGGCCTTAGGGCTCACAGACTCCCAAAGTGTTTGGGGTTTTGAGGTTTAGGGTTTTGGGGCTTGGGGGTTTTAACGCTAAGGGTTTGGGTCTGGGGCTTGAAGTTTGGGTTTGGTTTGCCGTAGACCCAAAGGACTGGATACATTTGTACGTGAAATCTTGAAACTGGAGTTCTTTTCGGTCTGAGTTTAGGCTTTAGGGAGTACTGTCCTCCTACATGTCGCCTATATGGCTCCATGATAATTTGGACAGGGCTAGGGTTCAGGTTTCAGGGTTCAGGGCGCATGGTCGCCTATGCGTCCCGCATATGGCCCTCATGTAGTGAACGCCTGCTCACCATCTTTCCTTCACATCCCACCCGCAAGAATGTTCAAATGGAAGTTGGAATTGGTGTAGGAACTAGGCAAGGAATGCAGCGCTTATGGGGCTTCCGTGATTTTCGTTGTAGGCGCGGGTGGGTCTTTCATTGGGAGAGCTGAGCAAAGATCCCGGATTCCAAAGCGTTTGGCACATTTGGTGAGTAGTAGGCAGTGAAGGAATGAGAAATGGGCATCTCGACTGGGCATTGGGCACTATTTAGAAACCCATATAGCCACCTTTTAAACGGATTGTAGTCCTCCTGGGGCTTTTCTTGGTGTTCCACGTCAGTTTCTGAGAGGGTAGGTAGAATAAACATTTCCATCTTGATGTCAAACACCCGGCCTAATGTTGTTTATAGCAACCATCAATGTTTGCATTCGGACCATCTTTAACTCTAATGTATGCTGAGGGCCGGGAGGCGGGTAAATAATACGGGGAGGGGAGTAGTACCGCCTATCAAAAAGTGAGGCCACGACAGCGGCTTTTCTCAAAACAAAAAGCTGCTTCTGCTTGCGCTTGTCATTTGTACGCCTCACATTTCCGAAAAGGTTTGACTTACAACTCTCTGATGAGTGTTGTCCAGCCCAATCTGAATGGGGGAAGGCTTCCAAAAAGAAGAGCACTCAAAGTACAAGGACATGGATGCTTACGTTCAGTTTCCACTGAAAGTTCAGAATCAAACAACCTTGAGAGTTCAGTCTCTGACCCTTAGCCTTCAATCCAAGGTCCTCGAGCAGATTGACGAGCTGGGTTGGGAGAACATGCGCAGACCTCAGACTTCTGGTTGGCCATGTGGTTAGCAACAGGAATGTGCTGCTGCCGGAAATTAGTTCCAACATTAAACCCTAAACCCTTAAACCCTAAGCCCTAAACCTTAAACCCTTAACCCTTAAGCCCTTAACTCTTAACCCCAAAACACCCAAAACCCTAAACCCCAAACCGCGTTCTTATCTAGATTGATCGTCTTATGGAAACCACCCCATGGGGCATCGGGATTAGATTGAAAGCGGCATCTTGTTGGGATCCGGTTTAAGGTTTAGGGTTTGGGGTTAAGGGTCTAGGGTTTAAGGGTTTAGGGTTTAGGGCCGCGTGTGTTCTGGAAGGTTCCACATAGATACAGCACCGAAGTGAAATTACCCTAAACCCTAAACCCTAAACCCTACACAGGTTGCCATTCCTCAGCCCAAGACATACGGTGCTGGTACGGGGCATACGGGGCTAGGCTTCCTGGGTCCCCCAGACAAAGTAGCCAGATCCAGAGGGTTTAGGGTTTAGGGTTTAGGCAGCCGC